GATGCATGTCAAACATTAGACTTTTCTAAAATTTTGATGAACTAAAAATATCAATCGAAGTCCTAAATACTTTTTAGCCAATTCCTGGTAATTTGGACTATCAAAAAATGGAAGGAAAAATTCCTTTTTTTTTTGAGAATCGCCATAGTTATTGCTCTCTACCAGTCTTTCATCTACTAATCTCATGAAAAACTCACACGAGATAATATTCGTTGCCATTTGTTGATTGCACGCACTAATAAGCTGGAACAGCTTTACCAAGAGATCTGCAGCCAATAATTCTTGCGAAATACCGCTTCTTCCAAGAACAAAGAAGATTGAGTTCTTCCTGGTCAAAGATTAGCCAGCAGCGCCAACTGCTTCGAAATAAGCCGGCACTTCAATATCAATGGGCATAGATGCATCTTAATGGAACAGCGGGATATGTGTTCTGACGCAAGACCCAGCCATTTTGCTGACAGCTGCCTCACAAATTTCACTTAGAACTCCATATGGATGAAGCAAATGCACTCCTTTTTTGTTTTCGACTAGGATCTAGCCGAAGAAGCAAAGCACTAGCTAGAAGAAAGAAAATACAATGTAAACTTGCATGCAAGTTGAGGAGTCAAAGGGTCCTTTGCATATTTATACGTTTCGGAAGAAACAATGGTGAAGTCGCATTTCATCTCAAAAATGTGCAAGCGGCATACTTTGTTTTTGTGAATCTGCCTCTCCCTCTCACTACAAAGGATGCACTATAAGGATTGGACAATCTTGTGAGGAAATGCGTTTTTCAAAAAGTTCGTTATGAACCATGAATACGCAGGACTTGAAAGCTTAGTGGCTAATTTTGGCTTTCCGCTACACAAAACGAGCCTTCCTAAAATTAGATTTGGCCGCTCCTTGACGTTTCCAAACAGTTTCAAGATCTTTGTCCTGGCATCTACTACATCGATTAATGAATCTTACATAAATTATCTTAAAGTGTAATCTAACTTCAACGGAACTCTTTTTGATACATATAACAGACATAAACCATCGTGCCGATGCTCAACCAAACTTCTTGACGGTATATCGCAACGATACAAGTTCATTGAAAGAAACGTTCAAGTTGTTTTTTCAAGATATGGTCACTAAAATTGCTGAAACGTCCACCGAGACCTATAATTTCTGCTTGGTACTAGTTATATTAGGTCGTTCCGAAAGTAATGTCGCTTTTTTCAAATGAACGCCACATTTCATGGAATCAAGATATTCAAAAGATCTTGGGAGCATTCGATGCAACATTTCATTCTCTTTCAATGATTGTATTCATTTAATATTCAATGAACTCTCGAAAAATTACAAATCTGCGACTCATCCTTTTTGCCATGGTCAAGTTCGGCTATTTTTCTAAATTTTTGTACTTATTCTCCGAAGAAGTACAAGTGACAAATAGATAGGGCAAACCCTATAGAACACAGGTTATTTTTTCCTTTCCTTAGCTTGCTTCTTAGAGTTTCTGGTATCAAATTTTCAATGCCATCAAATTCCATATTTGGTCAACTCAAACTCACAGAATAACAACCGGCAAGCTACTCGGGTGTCATTCGACGCATCTTTTTCTGCTCTTTCTATCAGTTATTTTTTGTTTCCGATTCCTCAAGTTTTCCGTGATAAAGTCATCATAATTTGGGTTTTCCAGGGCGCCCCAGGTTGTACCCGGAAATTTCGAAAATTGCTAATCTGAAGCGGTGAATGCTCATTTGGTTTGCAAAATTAGTGCCAAACCATAATCCATCTATGTAAGCTTCAAAATTGTTTAATGGCATTTGTGTCTGAGGCGAGAATGCTAAAATTCGGTGGTTCCATCAAAAAATCTCTACAACAAATTATGACGAGCACTGGCAAGTAGAAAAAAGTTATGTTGTTTCCTCTAAGGGCCGCATGCACTAACCTCCCGCTGGGGAGGTGATTGCAGCTTAAAAGAAAGCTTTATATTTCGAAACTCCAGACACCTGGATTTCACGTTGTGTACCTATCCGTAAGTATTCCTACTACCCTTCACTATGAACATGTTGAAGAGGAGCGAGAAGCTGTACGAACCGCATTTTCCAGCTTCTGTTTGATCCTTGATGATCCCCGGCGCTTTTCTTTGAAGTCATTTTTTTTTCTCCGAAGTTAACGAAAAACCTCCAAAGTTGTGCAGATTATCTAAACCGACAGTGGTAAGCATGTTGCTGATAAGAACAAATGATGTTTTGAAGTCATGAAATTTTCGATGATCCACACGTCGAAATTTGAGGTTTGCCGAAAATTTCGACTTTTCAAAAACTCATTTGTTCTCATCAGCAACATGCTTAGCACTGTTGCGTTAGATGTTCAGTACAGCTTTGGAAGGTTTCCGTTAACTTCGGAGAAAGAAAAATGACTTTAAAGAAAAGCGGCGGGGATCATTAGGGATCATACAAAAGCTGGAAAATGCGGTTCGTACAGCTTCTCGCTCCTCTTCAACATGTTCATAGTGAAGGGTATTAGGAATACTTACGGATAGGTACACAATGTAAAATCCGGGTATCTGGAGTTTCGAAATATAAAGCTTTCTTTTAAGCTGCGATCCCCTCCCCGCGGGGAGGTTAGTGCATGCGGCCCTAAGGTTTGCTCTATCCACCCATTACTTGGACTCCTTCCGAGGGTTGTTATAAAAACTTAGAAAAATTGTGAAACTTCGCCCTCTCAAAAAGCATGGGTCGCAAATTTTGATAATTTTTCGAGAGGTTATTGCATTTTTGCGCGGTGGTTACATAACCATTAGAAAGAGTATGAAATGCTGCATCAAATGCTACCAGAATCTCTTGAACATCTTTGTTCCACGAGATGTGGCGTACATTTGAAAATAGCGACATTACTTTCGGAACGACCTCATACGATGTTTTTTGTTATGACTTCTGCTGGTTTTTTTTTACTATTTCTTTTATTTCAACTTAGATAAAGTCTCTATTATGCACGGCATATCCATTTAACAATTAGTACGAGAAGTATTTTATGTAAGTAATTTGGTATATTTTTCCAAAAAACCACCATGTAAACAAACTTGTCCTTTTTTGTGCAAGAATTATTTGTATCAATAGCTCTTCCCTAAATTCATTCTGGATTAGCAAAAACTTCAAATAAACACAGTACAGAATTCTGCTAAAATGTTGAAAGAAAAAAGTCCATTGCTATGTTTGCGTCTTCGAGCTTACTTATAGAATTTGGTTCAAATGCTACAATAACTTACATGATTCTATCGGATAGAGGCCAGGAAGTAATTATCAAGTTAACTACTCACATCTCAATAGAAGATAAGAGCTCTTCGCAAAGTCATGAGTACACATCAATTTTGTAATCAAAAAACCAAACAAGAAATGCGGCCTTTGAGCTTTTCTACCCTTATCCTAATACTGAACTTTTTGTTCATAAACTGTCTGCGTGCTCAGCAGAGAGACCCAGGCGGAGCAACTATAGGCTGTACCAACCAGCATCGGTTATGCGACGTCGCGCCCTGCGGCAACTTGCGACGGTGCGGTTTGACGCGTGCGAACACTGCTACGCGTTAAGGCACGTCGCATGCGACCGTGCGTCTTCGCAGGGCATGCTAACGCGGGACCGATGCTGGTTGATACAGCCTATACAATGTTGGGTTTGAACTAACATTGCCAAATTCTTCTACTCTTTTCCCACTTCACGTTTCTTGATATGGGAAGTCCTACAATGTATTCCAGGGTGTATTCGTGCACATCACGTGCTTAGAGTGTTTTGATGTTCAAGTAGATTTTCTCGTACGAAGGGTTCTTCAAAAATTCACGAGGCCTTGAGTGCTTGCGAGTAAGTTTGTTATATGCTCTCAGAATTAGTCGGCACAGATATGAATGATAAGCAAACATTCTGAGGGCTCTATTTCTTTCCAAAAATTCTCAAGATTTTTACAACAGCAATCCATCTAACTAAGATCCCTTCTTGAGTGAGGAGGATTTGTTTAGCTCCGTCAGCAAAACTCATGGAGGAATGAGCGCATTTCAACCAGAACCCATTACCAGTATGAATACTAGAGAGTCTATGTGCGCGCAGGGATTGAGATTTAGGAAAGAAATTTCCCATGGAAACCCAAATTTGCAAACCACTCTGCAATGTAATAGTATAATGCGCCTTAGAAACAAGTCAAAAATCAAGCAAAAAAATTAGAGAGGAAGATAGCTTCATTACAGGGGCAAAAGCTGAAATCTACGAGTTACGATGCGGTACACTTGATTGACCACAAGGGAGCGCAGCGGTAACTTTTGGGACATCCTGTATAGTAAGCTGAACTCATACTCCATCCACTCAGACTATCTTATTACACCACAAGCAACATTTGACGTTGAAGGGGGAGGATGAAAAGCAAGAATGGGCATGAGGAAATCGTGCGAGCATCAAAATCACAATTTCCAAGAAAACCCTGTGATTAAGTGAATCTCGCGCTATGATTACAAAAAATTAATTATGAATCTGAATTTCAGAGCAAAAATGATTTACTATTTAAATTATGAACAAGACGTACAAAATGATTAAAATGATTTTACAACGCTCCAAGGTGACCGGAAAATGATATCCGTTTTTGACCCTTCAAAATTGAGCATACCTCTAAGAGCTTCGATCTACCCGCGAGCTTTGATATCGTCTATGGACGCACAACATAAGAGCAACATTTTCAACAAATATCCCGAATACCTGTCATACTTCCTTGATTATAACAGTCTGATTTATATCCCAAATGAGCAATCACATTATGTCAATATATGAAAAGGTACATTCATGTTCGGCCAGCTCTGCATGAAAACATTACCGCCATTTTGTATAAACTTTTACTTATGACAAGCATTAGTGGCCATAATTGCTCGTGACAGCCATGCAATAGCGGCTATGTTTTGAAAACAAAAGAAATTCAATTGTTGAGTCGCCTGTACAAACAAGTCAGCATGACCGGAACCCATGTCTCAAATAATTGCACAAAACATACGCACCGTTTTCAAGTCCTTCGGTTTGTGCAGACATGGTGGTCGATTAGGTCTCGAGAAACTGGAAGGTGGAAGTGGAGGCATCGAAGGATCATCGAAACTGTGCTCACGATTAATGCTGCTATGCCCCCTATAAAAAATTATTCAAATTATTCGTACAGATACTTAATCGGAATCAAATCTGAAAACTTGCAAATTCATAAATCTTTATAGAAATCCCAATATAGCTAAAAGTACGCTGTCTAGAAATTATCCCTAAAAAACTGTAAAATTGCGAGGTGTTTGAGACTTTGAATAGTAACTAGTATCCAGGGAAAGTAGAGGCGATGCTAGGAGGGAAGACAAAAAAGTAAAGGAGCTACTAACCAGTGCAATTGCTTTTATCTGAAATGACCCATAAACTGCATTCCGGCTGAAAGTCAGCAAGTCAAAGGACCTGTGCATTTTTTATCGACTTATGCTTACATGAAAACCACAAAATTATGGAACTTTTGAAGCTGAGCTTATTTATGCGCTAACTTTGATTTCAGACATAAGGAACAATGTGGAGTAAGATAGCCGACTAGCTGATGTACTGGAACGAAGTTATATAATGCTATGAGGAGATAATCAAGGCTGAGGATAAAATGCATTAGTGATTGTCCATTTTTCTCAGGTCACAAGACCATACCATAAATCAGAAGAACAAAAGTACCATGTAGAAGTATAGAACAATATATAATGCCCCATAAAGAAAAATTTATTGCAAGCAACCAGCTGCCATTAATAAGAAATCAAAAGCATAAAACTTCAAAAAAGAGTGGAAGAAGGTAGAAACGCACCGTAACGTAACATCCGCATCAAAACTTGCATCACTATGGGCCGGTGATGACGATGTCACGCTGCTCGTATCGGTATACCATCGACTATTGCTCATGCTTACTTTTCTCTTTTTCTTGATATTACTCAAAAATTTTGAACAAATCGCCGCACCCCAGGACAGCAAACAACAGTTAGTGAGACTTAGTATGCATGAGAATGGTCCAGATTTCAAAACCCTGCAAATAAACCTTTTAAGGAATGATTTCCAAGAATTATGACAAGCAATGGAATATGACGAATCAAACCTCTCATAAAAACGAGAACGAGGAGACGAAGTCATTGCTAGGTGCAACACAGCAATCGAAGCACAAAGACAGCAATGAATGTGTTGACAGAGAATTCAATTCAATTCTATCGATATTTCACAATCCGAAATTCACGGCTTTTAAACAGTCACATGCAGCAGAAATGCATAAAAAGCTTTATTCTATCAAATTACATAAATCAACAATAACGCTGAGTATGTGGAAAGCATTCATAAAATCAGAGCATATAACAGGTGCATCAGCTACAACAAGCTCTCCTAATGACTGAAATGCAGTTTAATTGACTTAAAAGACCGGGCTGAGCAATAAGGAACACGCTTGCAGCACTAGCACACTAACTTCGATTACGACAAGGCGTTTCTATCGCATGGTGCAAATAAAGAACCAGTTTACATGAGTTGATTGCAGCAGGTAGGAGTTGGCTATACATAGTACTAATACGAACTGACTCATGCAAACAGGAAATTCTTGACCTATTCAATTCTAAGAGTATGAAATCCTACGAAAATATTTAGCCAGCAGTTTTGTAACAAAACTCTCCCACCACATTCCACCCACTGCCCTAACACGAAAGTTTGGAGAATGGGAGAAAAGGCATGAGAAAACTGGATCTATAGAAGGAAATCGTCAGATTGCAATCGATAGGCAATTATAAGTATCAAAGTAGACATATATTTCCAAGACCGGAACGACACAATTGCATCAGCTATAAAAACTCGAAAAAAAGACACAAGACTCTAAATCTGCAGTAAATTACATTTGCCGAAGTAATTAGTAACTAGGACGGAATTACCTATGGATGGAAATAAGGACGATTCAAAATGATTTTGTAACGCAGCAATGGCCAGTTCAATCAAAATTTGAAAAAAAAATGTCCTGGATCAACGATTGACAAGATTTAATTTCATTTGAAAGTATCGATATTGTGTTTCATGACATAGGTATTCAAAAAGAATTCATGAGTGCTGGCTGCAAGGCGAAACTTTAGAGAGGGGAATTCCTACAGAACAGTTGCAGATAGTCCCAAGCTGGAAAGCAGAAATGCCGACATAAGAGAAGCTGAACTAATTTGCTTTCACCCATCCTACTTCTATTCTCTACCTACCTATTGCAAAACCATTGAATGGCAGTTGAGAGAGGATAAACGATTACTTCCAACCCGGTCTGCATTTGAGCATATACAGTGAAGGAAACTACATATATTAAACTAACAAACTGTTAGTATTCTCTGTGGTTTGGTATAGGTACCTAGGAGTTTCTTTGTAGGCAATCACTTGTTGAATCGCTGTCGCACTCTGTTGTACTTCTCCGTAAGACGGTCGACGTTCGCGGATAAGCGTCGATATCCGTAGGCGATTTGCGCGCAAGCGGAAAGTAGTACCGCATACGCTTGCTGAGTCAACTTCACGCCATACAGGAGTATATCTCTACTGACATTGAAGACTAGTACCTAAAATAAACTAGGGTTCTTGAGACAAAGAAAAAATATGAGGATTTTGCCTTTTTCTCGTATCTCCTCACAATTTACAAAAGAAAAAATATGAGGATTCTGCGCCTTTTTCTCGTATCTCCTCACAATTTACAAACATGGAGTCAAGTAAAGATAGTAGATTTATCCATTACTCATCATACACTCTAGTTTCTAAACACGCATTTTCCGACATGAACTAATTATAGCATCTAGACCATGGTTTTTATCGTGGTCAAAATTTATTGAAGCGCAAATTCACCCTTCCTACAGCAATAAATGAGTAAACTGCGCTTTTTCTCTGATGATTCATTAGAGATTTCGCAAAGTTCAAATCGAGCACTTTTTCTTATCAGATGGAACAGAACAGTGACTAGACAGTCACATCCCTTTTACACAAATCTTAAACTGATGCAGACAGTCCGCATTCAACCGGAAGCTATGAGACTGACAGTCACTCGAGATTGTTGACAATTAGTCACTTTACACAAAATCAAAAAAAATGTATCCACTCCTTGACGTTTATACCTCCTTCTCCTCAGTCTTTCTAAAAAGCTAACTTTGTGTTGCATTCCAGTGAGAAAGTAATCATCGATTTCTCAATATTCTCATTGTTTGTTCTCTGTAGGGCTAAATAAAACCCTTAGAATAGGTCTGCAAAATATCATCACTATCGACAAGGACAAAATTTACTCAATTTACGACCGCACCTAACAGTATGAAAAGTGGGTCTGATGACTGCTATACCGTATCTAAAACAAAGCCTGTCTCCCAGAACGGTACCTTAGCACCAACGGCGGTGCGAGTTCCTCGGGAGGAAGGGGACAAAAAATCTATACTATAGATCTTTTGCTATACAGATATTCAGGAGAAAAGGCATGACTTGTACAAGGTAAAAAAGTCACTTGTGCAATTTTCTACCCCATGTAGGCAACTTTCAAAAAAATTTCGCGACCTTTTAAGGGGTGGGCCCTCCCATCCTCCTCCGGTCTGCCACTGCTTCAATTATGTGAAATATTTTTGCAAAAGGATTATTTGACAATTTAAATAAGTATAATCCCCTCTGACACCCGTGAAGATCCTTCACACCAGCAATAAACCTCACAACCAGAGCTTGGATCAAACCAAAAGAGTTCCCCATCAAGAACCAGCAGAATTTAGGGTGGATCAACTTGCGAACAAATCTGCAAACTGATGCGTAAACGTTGTTTCAACCGGATACACATTAAGTACAATCACATTTACAAAATTTGAAAGAGACGTCACATATGTGTTTCATAGGGAAAACGAACTTACAATAAATTTTGTGATAGGTGCACCACGTATGATTTGTCCCACTTGTGAAGGATAAGACTGGACTGACTCTACCCATGAATCGCGCTCCCATAAGCCAACTCCTCGGCGATCGGCTACCTAAAAACATTATTTGAGGACAGAGTGCGATAGAGTTCAAGAGATGCAGGCAGCGAACGCCTTAAACACCAGAACACTTGATTTCACCAATAAAATGTAGCGGGCGGAACACTGAATGTATGAAATAGTTCTGCACAGAAATCACAACCAAATCGTTGGAGCTTTTGCAAAATCAAAAACCTACTGCAGAATTAGCACTCAACGAGTTCCAGCGAGCATTAGCACAATGATAGCAGAGCGAGTGGGTTGAGAAATATCATCCCAGAGACTTTCCTAGGAAATGGCTCGATTCTATAGAAACACAGACTAATGCATGGAGAGCAATCGACTGATACTGGATATTGTGAGACCAGAAAAATTTTGCGGGCAAACTTCAGCTATTTCCTCATTAAACAGCGAGAAAAATTTCTCTGTCTTCACCGCTGAGTCAGAACCTACAAAGCTTGAAGTGAGCGAATCAGTGAGGTAGGCACTGGGATTCGCGCACATACTGGGGAGATCGCCAGTAGGCGAGACTCTTGAAGCCTTCGCAAACTGTAACTTTTTTGACCGCTAACAGCTTGCGTCATCAAATCCCAGCTCAAGCAGCTGTTTTCTCCGTGGCTTCAATCCACATTTCCTTTTTGATCTAGTATACAGTTCAGCTGTAGATGTTTGTTTGGTCTAGAAGTCAGCGCATTGAAAGAACTGGTCAACGCGATAAGAAATGTCCCTTTTTGGGTAACAAATAGCTACATAAAACATGTTTTTCTGATATGCTGGACCGGGTACGATGTCTCCCATGTTTTCAGCCTCAAGACAAATTCCGGTTTGACATACGAGCAATTGTGCCAGAGATTGTTCTAAACCTACACAAAAAACAGTTGAACAATGACCGGTCAAGTTATTTTCGGAGCTGGAGCACCTCTCTGATCATACATCGTCCTTTTTCCTATAACATTTCGTTTCCTACAATCTTTCAAGTGCTTTTTTTCTCTAGATAAAGTGATCGGTGGTGTCTGGACTACTTGGTATCATAAATTTGTTATAAGATTGTTTTTGTAATGCTCAGAGATGGAAGACAGGAGAACACCTCCTTTAGAGAATGATATATTATCTGCATGCTGAAGTTCTGTGTTCTCTGAATTTTTTGAGCAGACAAGAACCATGTTATCAGTCTTTCTTTGAAATAAAAACGCATGTTTGTGCTGGGAACACCCCAGAAATTGTTATGCGCAAAATATTTCTAAATTACACATATATTTTTTGTAAATCTTATGACAGCTCGTCACGGAATCGTTAACCGTAACTATTGTCTGAATGGAATCCTAGGAAGAAAGAGAGATTTCGCAAAATCAGAAACAAGCTGAAAATGAGGTGGAAATTGTTCGAAATGTTACTGCATGTTGGATTTGCTCGCTCAATCAATTCCAAACAAAAACTTAAAAACTCAGAATCTCTAAGCGTAAACTAAGGCAATTCAGGGATGAAGAAAGGAAAGCTAATGAGCTTGTGAAAGGGTATGACAGGAATCAAGTGTACAAGAACAACTGCAGAGGATAAGCAATCAAAGACGCCCCTTCGACAAGTGGTGCCATCGACAATGGGATCATCGTTGAAGGATAAGTGTAACCGTCTCACATGTGCTCAAATAAAGCTGAACAGACCCGAGAGAGCTACCATAGAGCTATGCGAAGCATGAAACTCATTAGTGTACAAAGTAAATAAGACGAACGAACGAAAACACAATACGTCTAATTAGAAGCTTATTAATCAAGACGTTTATAGGAACACAGCTAATAATTTAGATAACTTGTGCATTTCTCTCTTAAGAGAATATTTTGAACAGGATGTGTGGATCTTAAGCCTGGTCTCCAGTGTAAACTCGTAGTGACGATTTCTTCCAAAAAGCTCCTTGAAACATGCATGAGTCAGCTTGTGGCAGCAGAGTAAGTTTCAAAGTAAGATCACCCATGAGGACAACAGAATGTCAGAGTTAGAACAAGCAACATGTGATGGCTTCAAAGAATGGTTACAGCATAAATTGTATTTCCATAAAATGATACATTCTCCTCCCATATTTGATCAGAAGGCATGACAGGCAGTCATAGGCACGACATATGGTTGAGTGCACACAGTGCGATCAAACTCTGGCAAGGCAACTCACTGGATTATCGCTATATTTTGAAGTTTGAGCGGAAACGAGGAAATGCGAGTAAGCCCTCCTTATGCGTTTTTTATACATGTTTTCCAAACGAGGGTTGGAAGCAAAAAGTTCATGTAAACAGCGCAAAGCCACCATCACAGGTAAAGACAACAGGAGCTACCGATGTATGAAAAAAGCCATATCGTTGACCAGATCTTTAAGCGAGTTAACGACGTTTGATCATACGGCTCGATTATACGACGGGAGTAACTAGCATGCTATCAATCTACCAATTGAATGAAACTTTTTTCAGCAAAATGTGCCTAAATGAGGAAAGCGGTGGATGGTATAATCAGGTACATACTCACATAACTGCGATTTTGTAAGTTCCTTTAATATATGAAATTCATAGACAATAAAAAGATTTATACTTATTTCGCGGCTGAGCATGTTTAGATATTAAAATAATAGTTTTATAAGAAGCTGTTGAAGGACTAGATGAATATTCAGCAATGAGCCAAAACGCAAAACTCAGGGTGCCCTCTGTGAAATCTATTCTGAACGCAAAAACGATAGAATTCAATTCGTTTCTCTTACCTTAAAAAACAAGTATTTTTTCATGCAAACTGCAGTCCAGAAAGCCGACCACGTCAACAAATCGATTAACTAATGACTGGATAGAAAGTTAGATTGCCTCTCTTCACATCACCATCACAGGCAACTGCAGAATGCTAGAAAACACACCTACCCATCAGATAAACTTTACATTTACTAATGTTCCTAATTTTCAGATGATTAACATCAAAACTACTGGAGTGGAGCCATACCACCACGGTTGACTTTAAAAAAGGATACCTAATCAAAATGAAACTTCAAAGTACGCATATTCGCTGAATGACTACAAACTTCTTCAAGAACGGCAAGACTATTCTCGTGATTGATTTAGAGATTCCCATAGATTGTGACAGATATATCGGTACCGACAGGAAAATCAACCGATCAGTTTCTCGTACAAAAAACACATGAACGGACACTTGCAAGTTCATTCTAAAAAATGATACACAAAGAAAATGGAAAAGAGAAGCAGCTCTTACACGGAAATAATAATTTGCGTAGAAGAGAACAGCCGACATGCCTCAGTCAGCCTCCAATGTAAATTTCAATAATCGATGAGATATTTTATGGAAATGGTTTGAGGTTTTGGTAAGTAGGTTGGTAAGGTTTTTAGCACCAAAACCTCGTGCAAATACCGACAATACTATCATAAGTATGTCGAGGTTTCAACAAGAGAGGGCGAAAAACTTACTTTTTATGGCGTTCTGCCTCGTGACTACTGCTGCATAACAAAGATAACATACTAACTAGGGCACATATCGGTACAATTTCTTTGCTACAGACTTCGAGACTGAGCACACTCAATACGAAAGCGCAACTAGCGCACTTACCGGTACAATTTCTTTGACACAAACTTCGAGACTGAGCACACTCGGAACGAAAGCGCTTGTACAGCTAAAATTCTACCTGAACCAAGCTTTATCCACAAAAATGTTTTCACGAAACATAGGTCGCAGTACGTCGTAAAACTTCGTTGCTACCAGAGTGAAGTTGAGGAATTTTCTTATCGTGATATTGCAAAACAAAAACTGGGCCTTGAGACAGGTGAACATGAAACCGTTCTTTTGAACTAGCAGTATTTCGGATGATTGATAGATGGAAAGCGAACGTTTGCGCTGCACGACGGCCATGTTTTTTCCAATCCCATTTCGTCTTTGTTGGTGATTTATTTGATAATGAAGTAGATGCGAAAACTATTCAAAGGCACCGTCCACTCTAGATTAGGGGTCTTGAGCTTTTGGGAGCATACGATAGTAGGACCTCCTATCAAGCCAACACCTGAATCGCAGCGCAAATTGTCGCTTTGGAAGCGAAAAAAAAATCGCCTCAGAATAACAGAAAGGCATGAGAAGAACTAAGCGACACCTCCTCCTCCAGTAATGCCCCCCCTCCCGCATCCGTGCGTGCCCATCCAATCACCATTCCGGAAAACCGCACGTCGATTGTCGGGTTTTTCGCGGATTCACGGCTTCATCTTCGGAATCAGAAACATAAAAAGGCGGAACGAATGGAAATCGAGAATCTGCGTGGTCGGTGCCTTTTAACTCATGTTTACGAAATCTAAACAAAAGTATTACCTACACAGGTTACTCTCTCATAGTTCCTGAGACCCAAAGTTAATCGTTCTGCTAAGTTTTGCCTAATCACCCATAAAATGAGATCGCCTTGTTCTGTTTTTTTTTTGCCAGTTAGTCTCTACAAAACAATATGTCTAGCAACCTGAATCCTTCCAGATTAGGATGAGTTTGGAGAAGTGCTAGAAGAAAACTTTTCTATCGAAGAATTGATACTGGAGCACATTCTCACACAAATTCTGATGAAAGAGAACACAATGCTAGAAAACGATTAGAACCGTGAGGTAAAAGAAGCGTGACATGCGACCTACTACGCACTTCGGCTTCATCAAAAAGATGACCGATTGAAGCCCGCGATAAATCAAGATTGATGCTTTTGCGATATGAACAAAGGCATCGACTTATTCTTTACACATATACCATCTAAGGAAAGCTGAAGAAACACATCTACAACTAACTCAAAGACATCAAAAGAAAGAATATGAGAGCAAAACATGTTTTTTTCTGTACATCTTCATACGAATTGAGCATTGAATGGGAGCAAGTCGTTAAACTTTTATACTTTTTGCTGAAAACTGCGAAAGGAAATCGCTGTATGCTCGACAGCAAGTGCAAGTAAACAGAGCAAAAGTTTTCTACCTTCGATAGAGAAGAGCTTCTCATCCACTTTTGAACGCGGAGAACAAAAAGACTCTAAATCAGCTTTGTTGCAACCCTCGATGTTCAATATAAAAAATTTGTTCTTAACAGGGAAAACACAAGTTAACGCAACAAAGACCATAGTCAAAAATATTCAGAGGATCTGGACGAGATACACCGCTACTTGCATGACCTCCCCGTTGAATTTTCTGCACTTCAAAACTGGCGGAGCCAATATAATCAGAAATTCAGGGAACTGACGAGCAAGAGCATTTCAGCAGTGACACCTCCAGGATATACAATGTGCACGTTCAGCAGTGTGATCTACCTCATGTTTCTTTTCGTGCCAATGAGAATGGTGGGATTGAATGAGAGGTAATTTGTAGCCACCTACAAAGTACTGATAAAACACGTGACAGCCTTATGAAGTACATTCATAGTGTAGAAGGATGAATGATGTTTTCCATGCTATTCAATTATGGCACTGAAAGAGATCAGAAACTTTACTTTAAGCGTGATCAAAATGGACATGATTGAAGAGAATTCAGCCATTCGCAACAAGGTGGAGAAAACTGGCTCCTACTGATAAACTTACTATTGCCTGTTCAAGAAGTCATTGCTCAACAGAAAGAAAAAACTAATGTATTATCCTGATGTAGCGGAAAATTCACGAGTGTACTTGAAACATATATCCGTACACAGGAAAGGCATTACTGGCCTCATATGCTTGATCCTGACCGTAACTAACCCAGGCTAGAAAGATGAGCAAAATGATATAAGGGACTCCATCCTCCAATACCAAATTTTCATTTGGAAAGAGAGGCATGAAAGGACGAAAATAAGGAAGATCCAGGAAAAAGCAAGCTGATGTATTGCAGGCAGCCGAGAGCACAAGCCTTTGTTCGAGACATGAGATCTGTGGAGAGGAGTGACACAAATGCTTCAGAGTTTAGGTTACCGCCGCCAAGGTGAGCAATGACGTGCGACAAAGCCACTTCTCCAATAGCACGCATGCTTTTCTTTCATCACCCAAGCGACAGAGAATATGTGATGTGTTTTCCTTCTCTGAACGGAGCAAGTGGCGATGGAGTTGACGCACAAAAAAAAATTTTAATTCCCATCTCGCGAACAGCCTGACAGGGAATAAAAATTAAGATAGGCATGGAGAGAGTGATCTCATGAAATTCTGGTAAGGCTGTGCAGTGATAAAGTGTTGGACACAGCAAGATTCACATAAATATAATATAAATCTTGATGGAACATTTCGTCGTTATGTCGCTCAAACATCTGTGGAAAGAATGCAAACAAATGCAGCACTTGTACAAGTACCACTCATACTGTATATAAGTAACTTGCGACATCTCTTCTTGTCAGAACAATTGACCCGTATGCGACTAGCCAAAGTCAATGCACACAGTATTCCAAAAATGAGTGGATGATCGCAAAGTAGATTAGACATTAGAACAATTCTGATCTAGCAAATAAAGCAGAATCAAAATCTTTGAGTTAACAGATAAAGCGAGATTGAGATCTATAGCTCGTTAGCTGCGAATCCAGGCAGCTGTTCTGATAAAGCCAATAAGCCATCTTCACAGACAGAAGCTAGCGAATGAGATGTAGTTGGAAAGCAGTTGCTATCAAACACACCGAGCCTTGCGATAAGTCGCAATAGGAGGTAATAGGCTCTTACCTTTTCACTCATCAGCAATTTGCTGACTAATCTTGAATAGGCGGGAATTGTTTGTAAAGCCTTTAGATGTCGCGGTGACTCAGGTGGTGGAACTCGAGCATAGCCACGTCTCACCACTTCGATATTCAAATTGGTGCGAGTGAATGTACTCTAAAATGCACTGATTACTTACCGATTCAACAAGCTAACTGCCTAGTTACAGTCGAGTAGATTTTGCGCTTAGTATAGTATGCTTGCACTGTAGATGAAATGCGGTAGAATTTGCGCATAGAGATTTAGCCACGCCAGTAATGCCGGCGTTCTGCGCGCGCAATTGGAAGGCGTCACAGGCGTAGCTTTTCCTTCACGCGCAAATTATGCCGCATTTCACCTACAGTGCAAGCACACTATATTAAGCGGAAAATCTACTCGACTGTAACATGTTTTCAACATTTCGGATTTGCTTGACCTTAGAAAATGAAAAAGTTGATGACTTCAGAAAGCTCCAGCTGGATAACTTTTCCCTGCCTCAGCAGATTTTTGCGGTGAATTCGCTTAGCAACCATTTTTTTCTCAACAAAAAACAACCTACGCTTCCGTTTGGCTCCCAAAACTTCCAAAACCTTTCTACAGTAAGCTAAAGTACTTCTATGTCGTTTGTCCTGCCTTTTGTGGGTTGCACCCCACGGTTTTGCAAAATAAATGAAGCTTGCAAAGTAAACGTCGTATTGCCAAGCAATTACCTAAGTGGACGACGGTAAGGAAAAGTTGAGAAGAGGGGTGGCATACAGGCCACTGAATATTTTAGTCAATATTCCGCGGCAAAATATTCTCACCTTTTTAACTGTCACATCAGCGTCCACAGCATTCTTCGAATCATCACTGTTCTGCAAAAAAAAATTGTAAATGCAGCTTTCCATGCCAAGATTGATAACAAAGATAGAGTTCAACTAACAAATATACGTATCGGTAAGTGAGCTTTATTCTATAATCGCTCTTTGCATTTTACAGACTTTTCTGAGATACAGATGCGTTCAGCACAACTATATATAGCAGTTCCACTCGCTTATAACAAGTGCTTCATGGTCAATGAAACTGCGAGAGAGGAATGCAGGACAAAATGCATTACCAAGCTTTTTTGTCGCGCAGTGGGTTATAGCGGGTGTACTGGGATATCTACTTCTTCCAGCGGTTCTAAAGAAGACCACTTTTGCACTGGTGAATGTCGAATTCCCCATTCAAGACGAATTTGAAGCTTCTCCCAGCTTTTACTTTCAGGGCGTTTCAGTTGAACGCAAAAATTTATTCATTTCGGTGTAAAACAACCTCAGAAAAACCAAGAAACATTGATCTTCTGAGGTTCACAGAAATTCTTTTCCACTTTATGCGTACTTTCTCCTAGAAAGTTAAAGGTATGTTACAGTGGCGTACCCAGGATTTCGGCTCGGGGGGGGCGCGGCAAAAAAAATTTTTAAATGAAGGTGCGTGGCGTTAGCCACGCACTCCGAAAAAATTTTAGGGGGGCTTCTCAACAATTCTGCGGGCCCCCAACCCCTAAAATCTGGAAAAAGGGGGCGTGGCGTCAGCCACGCCCCCGAAAAAAATTTTTTTATAAGGCTAATTTGAATTTTTAAAAATTTTTAAAAATTATTTTAATTGTTTACAAAAATAAACAAGTCATTTGCACATTTTTATAACGCATGTAAGTAACTTTCAAAAATTTCGCGACCCGTTCTCGGGGGGGGGGGGGCGCGCGCCCCCCCCCGCCCCCCCCCCTCGGTACGCCACTGGTATGTTACCATTTTAGCGGTTCAACCTACAAAAACAACGCAAATGATCCTGCCTATAAGTGACTGGTTCAAAGCCAGTTTGACCCGTTCAATTTTGAAATGAAAGTCTGAAATTTTGTAGATGATCGTCACGACTCAGAAATTTGGCTAACGACAGAATGGTCACAAAGCGGTCAATTCAAACAAGCTGCAAACCACTGGACGCAGTATCGAACGCTGAAATCTGTTTTTCACAAACGCCATTGTGAACAAAGTATAAGCGGTTCCTTAGAAACTGTACTTACTAAAGCAAAGCTGGTCACATTCTTGCTAGTTCACCTATAGGTACGGGCTATATTGAAGAATTTAGCTGCAACAAAGCCTTCAGTAAGCCGAACATTGTTCTCAATGGCTCAATTTGCACTTCGCATACACAATTTCGCACTACGAACGCTTACAACTCCATCCTTGAAGGCGTTCAGGAAATAATGGCGATAGATTTCGAGCCAGCAGTCTGGGCTGCATGCAATGGTACGCAGCTTGTCTGAATCGACTTCTACTTCTGATTCCCTCGTAAGAAGCTGGCAGTAGGGCTTCTCCACATATCTCCCAATTGCCGCATTTTCCAGATCAAGTCAAAAATTGACGCAGCAATGACCGCAATGTGTTATATACTTTTGACCAGTGTATGGAACAGTTTCAAACGCAAGGATTCGTAGGAATTGTCAGCGGTAAAGGCAACAGAGAGTCGCGCCAGTTATTCCTACTGCTTTTTCACAGTCATATATGCTGTTTGATGTGTGTCTTTTATCTTGCTGTACATATTTTCCAGTAGAAGGTTCCACTTCCGCATCACCTTAAACCAAATTTGCATACACTTTGGGAGGAAACTGGGATTATCGGCTACATTTAGCCAGCAGTACCGATTTATTGAGAAACTGCTTTTTCATAGCTACAGCCAAGTGAATCAGAGTTTCGCTTGTCAATAATTCATATTATAATGTACTCTCACAATGGAAGATGTAGCTAGAGCTATATGCGCAACCTTCGTTTTTATGGACACTGTATATTGACTTTGATATCATTTGATTTGGATTCTACTTGCAAAATTCTGCATGTTGAAACCTCTATTATTCATATAATGTAAACTGCTCTTGAAGGCTAAAATACAAACATGTGTTGGGAGTTGCTCAAGTGAGAATTCAAGTTTTTTACACATAGAAAAAGGCTGGTATTTTGCTTTAGCTCTCCCAAAATTCTAAAAATACTTCAACTTCTAAAGTAAAAAGAAATGAGTATTTCACGAGATGCTTGCTGATGTGAAAAGGGAAGGGAGTCGAACCTTTATAACGACGAAAGTTACTGGCTTGTTAGTAAGACGCAGATCCTTCGCGAGAAATTGTTGGCCAGCATTGGAGAGATCGACGCCTGCGAGTCGTATGTTGAGAAGACCCTGCAAACTGAATGCGTTTAATTTTGAAACGAGAACAAATAAATACCGAAAAGCATAGGTTTAGGACAGTGGCGTACCTAGGATTTCCGCCATTTTTATAATACATTTAAGCAACTTTTAAAAATTTCGCGACCCATTCTCGGAGGAGGGGGGGGGGCCTCGGTACGCCACTGCTTTAGGATATATCATGGTTGGGAATTTGATGAAAGCAGGACATGATAAACGCTGGTAGTTGTTGTAATTCATCTTGAGGTGATGTTCAGACCTGGTTTCGCAAAGACGTTCAGGTCAGACATCTCCAAAAAAAAAGAATGCTTTTCTAATACACTTTTTGTAGAAGAGCATGTGCATACGAAGAAGAAGAACGTGTGCAAAAAGGACGAGAAAAACGGATTGGCTTGTAAAGCAAGTAGTCATGCGTGGTAACGTCACGACTGCACGACTGAGCTTGTGTACTTGTGCGCTTCAACGCGTACCCTTAGAATTTTCGCTATGATGCGATAAAATTGTAAGAAGCAAACGTGACGTGAGCTTAAGCCACAGCGAAGATAAAGGAGGTACTCACTTTTTGTTTAAATCGCCGACTCGCGAAAGACAACCGAGTAAACGATAGAAATGCGAGTGAAGCAATACCTTGGGAGGTCTCCTTGTCGCGAGAAAAGCCGGAAGCCTCACTACTGGTATGTGTTCCACGCGCAACTCTCCAGACGGCAGTACCTGAATATTGCAATCTCTTCACTACATAAGGACAAGCTTCTGAGAAGAAACAAACCTCTCGTACGGTTCCTTTCAGCTCAAGCTCCTTTCGTATGAATTCTTTGGGTATTTCTGTGACATTCTCGAATCGCGCGAACTGAACGACAACATGAAATCAAAACTATATTGACAAATCTGAGAATGATATAAGAGTCAACGAGCGGCACATACTGGTTGGGCAAACAGAGCCGGCAGAAACATTATTTCTTTCTAGTTCGAAACGTCATCGACTAACTTACAATGCGCGAGTTGCGAAGAAAGAGTCCAACTCCCAATAGCCCGACACCAACGATGGTACCCTAAACAGGATGCAATAGGAGAGTGAACCTCTCTTGAAAACATCTTCTATGCTGCAACAATACAATACTTTCATATTTCGAAGCTCCATGAAGCAAAAACGTCTGTGTGCAAAATTAGCAATGCACTTGGACATTTTTCAGTCTCACTGCCGAAAAACTTCATCAAAGCGCACTGTAATAGTCCTTTCTGCTGACATGAACTCTCTGAGACTGGTATGTGTGTACGGAAAGAGATAAATTTTTATTTTCTCATTTTACGCCGATTTTTCTCAAAAGTGATGAATTTCCAGAAAACGGTTGATCAAACATTTCACTCTCGAAATCTGAAGAAATATTATGTGATGCTAGCCTACTCTCTGCTTCCCAAAACTGGTTCAAGCAAAATCCCGCTAGTCAAACCCGGCACGATTTCGAAAAAATCTTCTATGGCTAATACACACATTCCTTTTTTACGACATTACGGCGATGGTTGTCAGCACGCACTACAATCTGTTATTGAGATTGGCACACTCAATAGCTATGCATATCAGCGCAAAAAAAAGGAAAGAGGCAAAGAGCGCTTGCTTACCGTGCGAGCAGTACCCGAGCGAAGAGCCACGCGGCTGTCACACCGCATATCGTTTATGATACAGGATTGAAAACTCGATATAACGAGCGAGATTCTGATAAGCAGTTAATCATATCGGCTTCATATGTTTGAGTGAGATGCGACCCAGTAGGATTACAAAAGCAGTCGTACACCCACCACAGATTTAATGGTATCTGCTGAATAGTTGATGTCATTCACGCAATAAGGAGAAAAAATTTACGAAGTAGTTTGCAGGGATGGCATCATGGGGACATACCCGCTAATCGGAGCTGAAGGAAGTATGACAGTTAAAGGGCCAATATACTATAAACTGAGCATTTTCTGAACCTTCAGCTCACAGAAAGGATATATGAGATTTTTCGAACATGATAACTTTGAGAAATGTTCAAACCCTACCCTTACGATCAGAGCCGAAAATCGGTCAACCGGATCAACGTGTCGCACCTTTTCTGAAAATATTTTCTCTCAATGATTAGAGTCCAAGATATTTTTACACAAAATTTGAATCTACACAAAAGATGGGTAAAGAAAAACAAGATATCATTGCGCTATTACCTGGCACGACAAGCGGATGCTTTTCCGGCGCTGACGTAGGTGCCACGGCCGGGATCGGTGCGATATCGGCTTCACTCATACCCTCAAAGTGTATGGTTAGCACCAAGATGAGCGATACGGAAAAACGATGGCGTAGATATCAAAAACGACATCCTTCAACGCGATATGATCAATGGAAAGTCACAGTGAATATGTTTTGTGTAACGTGTTGCTCTGTCACATGCACCTTATATTTCTAGAGGTGACATGTGCTATGAAAAAACGTTGAGTGTTGAGATTTGAAGTCGAAACGAAGGACGCTGACAGGACGCAGAAGAGAAGCAAATCATTCGGGAAGTTCCGAGAACAGAGTTTGACTGTTCAAGAGATTGAAACCTCCGAGTTTTTTTTTTCATGCTCTCACCAACTCGCTTCCACTCCTTCACATCAAATTAGCGCTAAATGCTCGATTGCGGATCTGTGACTATCAAATTTCAAGACTCAGGCATGAAAAGTCATATTTGAAATTCATTTCAAATTATCTACACTTATTGCTCACTGTTGAAGAACTAATGATGCCATAATCGTGACATGCTCCTTGCACAAACTGACATTTAATAAGCAAGAGTTGCCTCCAAAAGAACTCAAGCCTATACAGGCTCAAATTATAACAGCCTACAAGACTTGGAGTCTAATTCCTTGTGAAGAAAGGTTTAAGATATGCGAGGGATACAGATATTACTCCAGAGTCCCTTAAATGCTGCAAATCAAAATTTTGTTAAGACCCATGAGCTTTCTGATTCCCCAATATACTCAGAAATAAAATGTAGATGATGCAGTAAGGACAGAAAAAGTACGGATGATGCAAAAGATGTTGTTTTGTTCCAGAACAGGCGCCACTAGTACCAAATTCAATTTCCATTCAAACATGCTGCACACTTGCTATTAATCTTATACACGATTCGTGATACGCAAAGTGGGGGCCGTTGCGACCTGCCAAGATAGTTCGTGCATGGAAAAGACAGTAAATGGTAGGAGAAACGAAAGAGCGCTCGACAAGAGAGACGCCGATACGTCCGCAGTATTTGCGTGCTATGAATTGTCTATACATTACTAAATTTTTTCTAGTTTGGAGACTTCCATAAACAAGAATTAAGCCTATGGTTTATGTCATACGCCAGTGTTAGTGCGCTATTCTACATAGTGTCCTTTCTTTTGAACAAAGAGAACTCTATATTTGTCTTCCTTCAGATAGGAAGCAACATGACGCCAAAAATAAGACAGAGGAGTCATAACAATAATACACATAAGAATGATACGGAGGTATTCCATATAGGCTTCTCAACGGTTCCAGAGCGCAATTGATATAGCCTCCTCAAAATTGTGAGTTTATATCGCATGGCTTACAAAAGCCGTAAAGGCATAACAGTGCAATGACACCGATTTCTTGGACGTTACTGCCAATTTTCAGGCAAAAATCTTGGCAAGCTCTGACAGACGCTGATCTATGCGTTTTATGCCATTTTTGAGGACACAGCACCAAACTTTGGTTTCGAGTTGGTGACACTCGGAAAATTGCGCGTCTTCGCCATTCAGCAAAGGGGGTTATCAAGCGTGCATCGTTGTTAAATGAAAATGCTACAGCAAATTTTCATTGCAATGCCAAGTAGTTCTGGCTACCTATTTCAAGATCAAGATTTCCCTCTGCCTTTGACCTATACAACACGTAAAATCCACAGTGAATCATAATTGCAACAGATATCCAAAAAAGGCGAAAAAGAGGTGCCCTATATGTGTTTGTGATTATCGGCAAAGCTTTCATATGAGCAACATATGGGATCGAGAAGAGATGGTGGATCAAACAATATTGGAGAAGTGTGGGCCATCGGCATCGATTTAACCGCAAATCATGAAATGCAAACAACGGCTTCCATGCATGCAAAAAACACCACAGTTAATTTTTAGTAATTCAGCTGATTAGACGAATGGTTACTGAGAGTACACACTAAATGAACTGAATCCTGAAACTACGGATGCAAACCATCCGCAGTGATCTTTTGCAAAATATGCGCCAGCCGACCGCCCTACACGTCAACACGTGTTGCTGGCGTCTGCAGGCGCATTAAAATCGGTTCGGGAATTCAAATTCGTCTTCAATCGATTATATCTTTATAGCGGGTTTTTACTCGGCACCTTTTTTGCGTGTAAAGCTCTTTGGAGTAAGATTGTAATCATTGTGGTGTAACTGAAGCAGGTGCCACACTGCAGGTCCATCTTGCCATAGATTGACGGAGGCATTGGTAGTGTATCTATTGTTATCTTTGGTTGTTTAGAGATTTTGACATAATGCTTACTATTATCGCTTCAGTTCAAACGTCGCTTTCTGTGATTGCAAATTTTCTCCGAAGATCTTCTGCACTACTACTATAGCTCAAGCTTCCTAACCCCTCAAAATCGCTCATTAAACTTTGCTTTTTTTCTGTTTTCATCTTCGGTGGGACATTTGGTGTCTGCCTAATGCCACACTGTTCTCTGTATCCTGCGGTATTGCCAGAAGAAACATGAGCTGTATACATGCACTAATCGTTTAGGCCGTCACAGAGTGGCGGTGTCGTGGTAGGTCACTCGCTCCTTCTTCAAAGATGATGAGATCTCGAGGTAAGAATCAACTTTGCTTTCACTTCTAGATCTTTCTTGACTTTTTTCTTTATGCATATGCAGTTCTGCTTTGTTTGCTTGCATGACATATGTGTTGCTGCACTGATATCAGACGAGGGCTTATTGAACGAAATTGTGTTTACAAAATTTATCGCGTAGATACCTTGCCTGTTATAGGCGATGAATCGTTCCGTAGCACTTGAACATTCATGCATTTTCTCCGTAGTTTTTCATCTGTTTGTGAAATTATAGGTTTAAAGTCTCTCAGCAAATTCGTTTATGCTGCTTTGATTGAGTGCCAAGAAAGAATGATGCAGATTGGTCATCTCATACTAATTCGTTGCTGACAAAATCCAGGAGTGCAGTCAGATTTATGCTCAAAATTCCTAGTCATGTTTTCAGTCAAAGCCTATATATGGTATGGCGTTTTGTGAGTGCGTTTTTCTCGTGATCTCCTATTCACAGTGTGAAAGTTGTGTTGAATCGAGAGCGTGTCCCGAGTTCGATGTGTAGTGTAGTCTCACAATGCTTGCCTTTCCTATGCGTCAACTCAGATCTGGTAGTTCTTTTTGTCAAATTATATGTGGAACTAATTATCAGAAGATTTGGCGCAGTTCTCTGCACTATAATCAGCTTTGTGAGATGTGCACTAAGGACGGACGACCTTTGATTGACTCGTCTCCTGCAACAAGAACGTTGATGCATCTCTAATATCGTGTGTCTGTTTGTTTCGCCGAACCGCATGTGATATGCTATTGTATGCAACCTAGTTCTACCTTGCTTGTTTTTTTTTTGTATATGTGATACGATATGGATACTCCAAAAGTCTAACAATTCGGCGCGAGAAGCATCTTGGCTGGCAAAAAGTGCGATTATTCTATCAGATCCGACTTTCATAGCATCTTGCCGTAATCTGTGTGATATTTTTTTGATAACTAATGATAGGATTGAGCTATCGGCGTGCTTTCGCAATATTGCGTCGGTGTTGCCTCTGTAAGTCTGACTTATCCACTCCTTTCAGGTAATGCTGTGATGCGTCGTCAGATGTCGTCATCGTCGTCAGACCGTCGTGGGAATCAGCAGAACTCATATTTTCGCAGTATGATGTCCGTCATTACCGCTGTCTTAGTCGCCTTAGGAACGATATTAAACTTCATTGTGCAAGGATTCAAACGAATGCATAGAGGGGTAAGATTTGTTTTTTGCTTAATCTGTAGCTTGAGTGCATATTGATACGTACCGTTTTTTTGCTAGCTGTCAGAGACCCGTCATACTTCCCGAGAAAGGCCCAAAAGCGATCAAAAAAACCCGAAAAAGTAAGGGGCGGAACGCAGAAACAACTTTCGATAGAATTTTGACATTATTTTGATGTGTAGAAGACAGAAAGTGAAGCAAAAAGACTCGGTTGCGAAATCAAAACACATGCCTTGGCGTTAAAACGGAAGGGGTGTTTCGGCTCTTTCGGGCTTTTTTTGTGCTGTTTTGTGCTTCTTTGGGTTTTTTCGGGCTTTCTTGGTCTCGGCGAAATATGACGGGTCCCTAACAGGAATGCATTCAATAGTACTGATGGACGGAAACATGGGTCGTCAGAGTGGCGGTCATTTGCTTCATCGTTATCATTCTGCAGACAATTAAGTGTGTCTTAATTCGCCAGTCAGTGATTCACAAATTTTCTTGTTACAGTCGGTAAACAAAAAAATTGTGTATACCACTAACTACAAGTTTCCGTCTAATATATGTTTTTGTATCAGCACTCAGCTCCAAGCAGCAAGATCTAAACAGGAAAATTGTGTATACCACTAATTACAAATTCCCGACTAGTATATTTTTTTCGTATCAGCAATAGCTCCACTGCTGTTGTGGTATATTTCTTCTGATGATGTCCGTCAGTTTCTTCCTTTTTTTCTTGAATTCTGAAACTGATGCTCTTTTTTGTTGAAAATCATTGGTGATGCAGGGCCTTGCCTTGTCGTTCGGTATTCCAAGAGCGTTGGGGTATGGTAAGGGAGAGAGAAACGACTGGTTGTCTGATAAAGGGTGGATTATTTGGTGCTGGTTCGACTTATCGTCTTTCCTCACTTCAAGAAGACAGCACCTATGAGAACGGCCATAGGTTTGCCGGCAACGGTTGCCGAGGTTGCTGGCGTTGCCGGTCGTTGGGACCTCATTATGGCCTTCACGTTTCGCACGCTCTCTAAGACTGCGTTCGTACTGATCCCGAAGTTCGAAAACCGTCTCAGCACAACTGTTGGTTCGAGCGTTATGCTGGAACTGTTCCCGAACTTTCGGATCAGTATGAGTGCAGCCTAAGGGATCGTTCATACCGCGCACAAAGGCGGACGAAGGCGGACGAAGCCGGACAAAGGCGGACGAAGCCGGACAAAGGCGGACGAAGGCGCGGTCTCGTCTCGTCTCGTTTCTCTCGACACGCACACACACTCACACGCGCCTTCGTCCGCCTTTGTCCGTCTTCGTCCGCCTTCGTCCGGCTTCGTCCGCCTTTGTCCGGCTTCGTCCGGCTTCGTCCGCCTTCGTCCGCCTTTGTGCGCGGTATGAACGATCCCTAAACTGTCTCTAACTCCTGCAGCCCCAGCAACCCCGGCAACGCGGGCAGCCTCGGCAAGCGTTGCCGGCAACCTATGACCGTTCCCTATGGTTTGCCTCTCTGCGCACAGACAAGTCAGATTTTTATCAATTTTGTGAACTTGAACCCATGCGCTTCATAGAAGAAGCACAACGGCAACCCAAAACTTTTTGTGAAGAATGAAGTTGTGCTTTCCAGTGGCCGTATTCATCAAGTAACCCAGTAGTTTCCGCTACCCAGTGGGTAAGCGAAAACAGTGCCACTGGGTTCTGTCGATATACACAAATAACACTACTGGGTTCGCGAACCCACTAGCTTCATGAATACCGATCTCGTGGGTTAAGCCTACCCACTGGGTTCCGGAACCCATTGGGTTCGTTGATGAATACGGCCACAGAAGTGTTACTGAAAGAACTGCTGTTACTCAGAGCAGACACTAAAACGCCTAACATTCGTCCTTTTCAACAAACTCTCAATTAATGATCTCTTTCAGTACGCCAAATATCAAGTGATCAAATATCATCATATTCCATGTTCTCCTCTCACAGCACATCGATTAAGTAAGTTGATGTTCTTTATCTCAAAATTACTAGCACTTCACGAGTGTTTTTTGCAGGTATAATGCGAAGGAAGATTTTGGTTCTTGATCTAGATGAGACTTTAATTCACTCGCACCACGATGGTGTCATCCGACCTATGGTCAAACCGGGAACACCATCTGATTTCACGATTAAGGTAAACAAATTGTTACGATGTGCGATCCACAGCACAACGCTGAAGCTTGTGTTTTTTTTTTGGAATTAGATTTTCTGATGTTGTTGCATATATTACTTGTTTAGGTCGTGATTGATCGACACCCTGTTAGATTCTCTGTTCACGCACGTCCTCATGTTGACTACTTCCTATCCATTGTCAGCGAATGGTGCGTTTAGCAACTTTTCACGTTTCACAGCTTTCTTGAGTTTGCTTTTAAAGGCAGTGGGTCGGCAAAACTCACCAACTCAAAATTTTAACGCGGTAGACTCCTTATTACCCAAGTATGAAAACAGCGCAATCCCGGTTGCACAGCATGCCTTCCTTGCCGAGAAAATTGCTCTCAAATTTACACGCGCAGGCCACTCTTACACGCATCCAGACGAATTGGCAATTTCCTTCTCACCATTGTAGGCTGCCCGCCGCAATGCTATGACCATTGGGTCCGGCAACGATTCGGTGTCATCAGCCTTACTGCACTCGTCCATTTGCAAAGGGAAGGGCATTGAAAAACGCTCGTTTTCGGCGTTTTCAAGCTCTCAAAAGTGGATTTTCGGAATCAGCGTATTGAATCACCCCAGCTAAGCGAAAATTTGACTAGGTTGAGATTTGCCGAGCCACTGCTTTCAAGAAGTACCTTCAGAATTAATGGGATGGTGGTTCCATGCTCCAAGAACTTGGCTTACTAGAGCTATTGGACCTGCCGATTATAAACACCATAATCTTTTTACGTTTTGAAGAGGCCGTGCAATACTGGGATAGTGCGGAAAAATAGCTTTAGACGACTAGGGGCGGCTACTGGCGCGATATGAAGGCGTCCTCGTTTGCGTTTGCTGCCTGAGACATCCTAAACATGATTTTTGTTTTTGCTTGAATCAAGTTTACGCAGATGATATATTCATCATTTTCAGACAGGGCCCGTACACTAGGTTTTCGCTTTAATCAGACCATTTACCCAGTTGACGTATCACATAGTCCTCGTGGACGAATACCATGCGCAACGTTTTGCTGTTGTTAATATTGTGTATCGTTTTGGCCGTCCATCTCGAGATGCTAGCGTAAGGTTGTTTCATACTGCAGTTGCTGCAGCAAGATCGCCTCAATATGACTGCAGCTGCTGCAGCGACTGCAGTATGAAACAACTCATAGCGGCGACTTGAAAAGGACGCCCTACGCTTTTTTGAAAGAGGGTTGTACACGAATTCAGATCTTGCGAAGAGCAAACGCAAATGGCACTTAAGGCTTTAGGTTCTATAGTCGCTTTCGACTATTTTTGTAGGCGCATTATATGGTCACGAAATGTAACATGTAAGATAAAAAGCTATTCATAGGTTCGATTTGGTTGTGTTCACAGCAAGTATGGAAGTGTACGGAACACATGTCGCTGATAAACTCGACAATGGACGAGGGATTTTGAATAGGAGGTTTGGCTTGTGTACAATCTCACCTGACTTCGCATGAAACTGGGAAATGAATGTTTCATATTGGATAATGACTTTACTGTGTAAGTGCAATCTTTAGGTATTTCCGACAGCATTGTACCATGGATTACGGTGGTTACACGAAGGACCTTAGTGCCATCCATCAAGACCTTTCTTCTATTTTTATTCTGGACAATTCACCTGGAGCTTACCGAAAATTTCCTCGTCAGTTTTGATATTCTTATTGTTCAAGCATATGCCTTCTCATTACTTTTACAGAAAACGCAATTCCTATTCCGTCTTGGTTTTCGGACCCAACAGACACTTGCTTACTGAACTTGTTACCATTTCTTGATGCACTGCGATTCACATCCGATGTACGGAGTATACTGAGTCGAAATCAACAAAGCTTCAATCAGGTGTGGTAGCAAAAGGGTCACCTGTCTGCGATTCTGCTTGTAGGTTATATTGCTTTGATAGTGTGAAAAAACGTGGTTCATTCAAATAGGCTGGTTTCGCAGCTGTTTTTTTATTTGTTTTGTGGCAGTACTTCGACATGCAGTTTTTGTATAACTGGTACCGGTAGCTTGAGTTGTTCTGAGCAGGAATGCTCAGCAGTTCAATATAATCTTTTGATTTTCTGAACTAAATCCAAAACAATTGGCCGTAATACATCACCAGTACTTGAAACCAGACCATTAAAGTTTGGCAAGTATTGACACTTCCTGCTTTAACCAACAAGCAAAAAATAATTTCTGTCTTTTGCTTTTTCACTGATGGTTTCGAGCGCTTAAGTTTTTGTCTTTTACTGTTCAAAATGTTTATTCTACTAGTCCTCACCATAGTACTGCCGGACAAGATTATCATTGCAAACATAACTTTCTGATTGTTCTGGCTTGATTTTTACTTGAAGGGATCGTGAGTGCAGCCAGTCAATTACGTCAGTTCTATATGCCAAATTCTTATGAGTAGCTTTGTAAACTGCCAAAAAAAAATTAGTCAATAAAAATTAGAGCGTAAGGCCCAGCATACATACCACATATAATTCAAGCCGCTGCACGATTCGGCGCGCAACACTCTTCATCATTGGGCTTAAAAATGCGTTGGGGAGACTTGGTTTTGTAGCAATATACAGAAGCTATGCGTTTATGCATGTAAGAGAGCTGCGCGTGGTAAATCGGTAAGAATCTGGCAAGTTTGGGAGTTTCGGCGATTTGGTGTAATCGTTGAAAGTATGCTTTGGGCCGATCGCTGAACGTATGCTTTGGGCTAAAGTATCAAGTATGCTACGTCTCACTTTGCGAGGAGCTGGAGCTGCTTTTGAAAGGCACAGCAAAAATGTTTTCATTTTCAGATTCGGGTCGACCTTTTACAATAGGTCCGTAGCCGGTTAGGTTCAATACTATCATCCTGGATACTTTCAGCTCGCAGGAGGTGAATGTTGATGTGAGGTAAAATAATCGAGGTATATTCCATTGTTAATTTGCCGTCCTCTCATCTTAAAACACTTCATGCAATTGGTAAATATAGAAAACATTCGTGTCTTTTTCGCCGGTTGATCATACACATTACGTTGTACTGTAATAAGCGTACTTTTCTTTTAAAGTTATCATTATCAATTATGGAATGTTCTTCTTCATTGTGTCGACATGCATATCGACCAAGCGTGTATTTTTCATTTGTCGCTAAATTTCACTATAATCGCTTACGACTAATGGCTGTTATCTTCTCCTCGAAAGCCTTGTCACTTCAATGTCGGCGAAATCTCTAGATTCAAAAGTGTTTTCGCAATATACTTTTTTTTTATCACAGAAATTGCATTGGAAAATGCAAGAACATTATTAGTAACACCGATATATCTGTCTATGTCGGACAGATAATTTCTCCTAATCTTTTTTCTGTTGTGAATGAGCAAACGACCGCACAATCCGGTAGGCTATTGACACAGTTCGATGTTCTTTCGATCCTACGGCGAAAATCGTATGCTGATGCTACCGTTCTTTTTGGTGTGTTTATGAGGAATAAAACAGTAAGACCTTGCTTACCCATTACACGTTTCTTTTCAATTTTTTGACGAGTCTGCACTTGAGGAGTGTCTTGTAATAACCTGATGTTTTTCCTGCCTCATTTGTTGGTAGAAACTAATTCACATACCGTCTTTGAGTAATTTATGCAGCTTACTGCTGGAAACCAATCGCGACCAATGAGTTGTTACTCTCATCTTTATTGAATTACGGAAACGTCGTCTAGAGCGCGGATCACCAGTTACTACGGGGTCGTGTTAACTCTGAATTTCCCCGACTCTGTTTATTGTTATTATGATAGCCTTATCTTCAAATTGCAAATAATGATTGGCTTTGCTTTTGAGCTCATTTGTATCAGAGCTAGTCCTCTGAAGTTGTTTCTTTTGACATTCTTTATATCGGTGTTGTTGTGTTTTCTACTCCTCTTCGAATTTTCTTGAATTTTTTTGTTGTAGTCTTTGTGACTTTCGTGACTGTCATCATTGACCTCCTCTGTTTACATGTCACTGAAGGCGCCAATATTGTCCATGGGTAGGAACATCTAGTGTTATCTTTCTTGCATTGTGTCTGTATGTGCGTTTCTTTTCATCTTCACACGGGACCTCCATAGTGTGTGTTGTCTATCGACGACTCATTGCTTGCACAATGAACATATGACGTATATGGAAGTCAATATCAAAAAACAAAAGAGGGAAGTTTGAGTGCAGGTATGGGAAATAATTATCTAGCGTATTGTCAGGATAAGGGTTCTCGTTTCCTTCATGTGGTGGTGTAGCGGTGTCTTACATATGAGTGGTTATTATATACTAGATGGCAAACCCGGCTCCGCCCGGGACCAAACTTTGCACACATACACTTCGGGGCAGGGAGCGTGTCATAGTCCACTTTTCGTTATCGATCGATGTCGATTTCACCGATTTTTTGCAAATTTTGAGCTAGGGGGCTGGGATTTTGCACAGGGGGTTAATCGAACATGCTGATCACCCCCCACGGGGGTGATCAGCATGCTCGATTACCCCCCTTTGCCAACTCCCAGCCCCGTAGCTCAAATTTTGCAAAAAATCGATAAAATCGATATCGATCGATAACGAAAAGTAGCCTATGACACGCTCCCTGTCCCGAAGTATATGTGTGCCAAGTTTGGTCCAAATCGGTTCAGAAATAAAAATTTCTATTCCGCACATACGTACAGACAGACAGACATACAGACAGACAGACACACATTCATACTCTTTAATAAAGCGCAGGCACCCCCATCTGACATCAGTGTCGGTCTGTTCGTGCCATGTTTGGGTTGTTTACCACTATGCTCCATGAACCTGCACTTTACCACTGCCCTTTACCACTATGCTCCACGAACCTGCACTTTACCACTGCCCTTTTTTGTACAAGTGATCTTTGCCATCAGACTGTCTGTCTTCGCTATTGTTTATCAAGGTTCCTTACGCAGGCACGAGCAGTCAAACGCTGCTACCACAACTCCTAAGCGGTGAGATCGATTAGTCTCATAACCGCTTCACGATATTTCGCTTTATTTCAGCTACGATTTGACTCCATTATCAAGACGGGTAAGGTATTCTACCATCGTTTGTTTCATCTGAAAGGCTATCATTCCCATCGCCCTGTGATACCTGCCTTTTCGCACCTCATCGTTTCTGTGACTATTTCTTATTCTTACAACTATCTCTCCTTTTATGCAACTCTGATCGCTCCTAGAGCAACAAAAGCGCACCAACATATGCAATCTCACTTTTATGAGCAATTTTTCATTTATGTTAAAATTATATTAGATTTGAGGATTTCATAATTGCTGCAAAGTTCTATGCCTCAAGAAGAAGTTAATTGAAGTTTTTTCTGAGAAACTCGAAATAAAAATGAAGCGATTTGAGCAGCAATCCTCCAATGTGGCTCCAATGTGGCTGCAATTATGTGGAATTTTTCCAGAAGCTGAGCAGTTTTTTTGAGAGTAACGTTTTGATCTCAAAACGATCATCATCTGCCATTTTGTATCAGTAAATACAAAAAAAACACGGTACAAGTATATTCAAACCGAAGAGTTGGCAAAACTGACCAAAAAATCAATGATTCTAAAAAGATTCTGTCAATTATCATTAACAATATAATGATGCTGTTTCCGTAATTTTGTCAAAACATTGCACAACCTCAAAATCGTATAGACAGTGTTTGGATGAACAGTTGAAATTGGATATACACTTTGATAGTAGCATTCTTGATTATATTCAAGTCAGTAGCCTACTAAGATGAGCTGGAAATTGAGGTAGACACTGGAGTTGGGCTTATCATAGGTGTTGAACAATTTGAAAAGCCCATATAGAACGCGAACGGGAGTTTGGAATTAGAATTTTTGAATTGAAAAGACTCTGAGCAAGCTTCCAACAACGCATATTTCGTGATGAGGAAGGGATGTTCTTTGATTTAGAAGATTTTGTAACTATAAGATGGAACGTTGGCTAGAGCTGCAGCGATGTTCGCCCGCGGCCCTTTCATGACCGGGGACATCGCTTAATTCACCCCAGGTTTACATACGGGCCCAAAAGATCTAAAGGGAATGAAATATTAAGGTAGTTCGTAGGGACAGTCGATGAGGAGAGCAGGGTCCCGGGTGAAAAGAGTCAGGAGGAATGTACACAGCTGTAGCTGGGAAAAGCTTGCCGAGTTTGTGACGTGACGGCCACTTTGTCAAAAAATTTCTGAATGTGAGAATTTGAGGGTATCCGAGGATTTTCACAAAATGTGTGAATGAGCCACTTTGGCAGCTACAGTTTGTCGAAAGGTGATCACGCTAAAACGTTGCCTCAAAACCGCACGAAAACGCTAAGGGCTTGCGGCATTTCCTTGCAGGGGAGTTTAAAGAAAAGGTGGGAACAGACAGGTCCCAACTAACCACTATTAGCAAACAGCAGACATGACGGAAAATCTTGGCGTGCGCGGCACAACATGCCAATTTTGGCTTGATTCGGGGGACTGTAAAGGCGCAGTTCGCATTTTCTCAACAGCAGCACATTTGGGGCAAGATTCGAAGGCGATTAAGTAAGATCTGAAGGATGTGGAATGAGAAAAGATTGGTAGTTCGGGAGTTGCATAAAGGAAATTGGATGAAAAAGAATGGGAGGAGAAGGGGATGCAGTTTGGCTCAAAGAACTCAGGAGACAGCAATACGCAAGTTTGCAAAGCGCAAGAGCATACCTACCTGGAAAGCTGGGAGGAAGCGGTTGAAATTCTGTTGGCACTTTTGTTAATAGAACTTAGGAAACCACATAAAGCAAAAAAGATCCTCAGAATTAACTTTGATAATTTCTGGGTTTTTAAATGTCTGAAAAATCCGTGCCATACTTCTGAAGAAAAGGGGTTCCTTACGCAGGCACGAGCAGTCAAACGCTGCTACCACAACTCCTAAGCGGTGAGATCGATTAGTCTCATAACCGCTTCACGATATTTCGCTTTATTTCAGCTACGATTTGACTCCATTATCAAGACGGGTAAGGTATTCTACCATCGTTTGTTTCATCTGAAAGGCTATCATTCCCATCGCCCTGTGATACCTGCCTTTTCGCACCTCATCGTTTCTGTGACTATTTCTGATTCTTACAACTATCTCTCCTTTTATGCAACTCTGATCGCTCCTAGAGCAACAAAAGCGCACCAACATATGCAATCTCACTTTTATGAGCAATTTTTCATTTATGTTAAAATTATATTAGATTTGAGGATTTCATAATTGCTGCAAAGTTCTATGCCTCAAGAAGAAGTCAATTGAAGTTTTTTCTGAGAAACTCGAAATAAAAATGAAGCGATTTGAGCAGCAATCCTCCAATGTGGCTCCAATGTGGCTGCGATTATGTGGAATTTTTCCAGAAGCTGAGCAGTTTTTTTGAGAGTAACGTTTTGATCTCAAAACGATCATCATCTGCCATTTTGTATCAGTAAATACAAAAAAAAAACACGGTACAAGTATATTCAAACCGAAGAGTTGGCAAAACTGACCAAAAAATCAATGATTCTAAAAAGATTCTGTCAATTATCATTAACAATATAATGATGCTGTTTCCGTAATTTTGTCAAAACATTGCACAACCTCAAAATCGTATAGACAGTGTTTGGATGAACAGTTGAAATTGGATATACACTTTGATAGTAGCATTCTTGATTATATTCAAGTCAGTAGCCTACTAAGATGAGCTGGAAATTGAGGTAGACACTGGAGTTGGGCTTATCATAGGTGTTGAACAATTTGAAAAGCCCATATAGAACGCGAACGGGAGTTTGGAATTAGAATTTTTGAATTGAAAAGACTCTGAGCAAGCTTCCAACAACGCATATTTCGTGATGAGGAAGGGATGTTCTTTGATTTAGAAGATTTTGTAACTATAAGATGGAACGTTGGCTAGAGCTGCAGCGATGTTCGCCCGCGGCCCTTTCATGACCGGGGACATCGCTTAATTCACCCCAGGTTTACATACGGGCCCAAAAGATCTAAAGGGAATGAAATATTAAGGTAGTTCGTAGGGACAGTCGATGAGGAGAGCAGGGTCCCGGGTGAAAAGAGTCAGGAGGAATGTACACAGCTGTAGCTGGGAAAAGCTTGCCGAGTTTGTGACGTGACGGCCACTTTGTCAAAAAATTTCTGAATGTGAGAATTTGAGGGTATCCGAGGATTTTCACAAAATGTGTGAATGAGCCACTTTGGCAGCTACAGTTTGTCGAAAGGTGATCACGCTAAAACGTTGCCTCAAAACCGCACGAAAACGCTAAGGGCTTGCGGCATTTCCTTGCAGGGGAGTTTAAAGAAAAGGTGGGAACAGACAGGTCCCAACTAACCACTATTAGCAAACAGCAGACATGACGGAAAATCTTGGCGTGCGCGGCACAACATGCCAATTTTGGCTTGATTCGGGGGACTGTAAAGGCGCAGTTCGCATTTTCTCAACAGCAGCACATTTGGGGCAAGATTCGAAGGCGATTAAGTAAGATCTGAAGGATGTGGAATGACAGAAAAGATTGGTAGTTCGGGAGTTGCATAAAGGAAATTGGATGAAAAAGAATGGGAGGAGAAGGGGATGCAGTTTGGCTCAAAGAACTCAGGAGACAGCAATACGCAAGTTTGCAAAGCGCAAGAGCATACCTACCTGGAAAGCTGGGAGGAAGCGGTTGAAATTCTGTTGGCACTTTTGTTAATAGAACTTAGGAAACCACATAA